ATTACCCTGGTGGAGGAGTACTGGGATGTATGTGATATGTATGGCGACAAGGATGTGACCGTGAGTTGGGGAGACCAGACTCGCTCTCATTACGACACGAGTCTGGGTTTCTGAAACCCTGCATAGAGGGTCAGCCTTAGCATTAGCCAGACAACTCAAGTGGAATTATCGATTACAGCCAACGGGCTATCGGGGGCTTTTGGTGTGCGAATTACGGCCTGCCGTACCGAGACAATGGCTCTGCTTGCAGCGTCCCGGCATCACGCATCCTTGCTGTATTACCCTTGCAAAAGCAAGTCCACGGCGCCTAGGTGCACCAACTGAGGATGTATTCTACCTGAAGCATTTTTGTGGGTACAAGAGGCATTTGTTGCTCAATTGGGCTATACCGAAGTCGCTGAGGTGATCTGTTTGTGTGTGTGTTGGACATTGCATGTGGGTTTACAGCGCATACCCTTCGTCGGAGTGATATCCGTAAGTTCACCCAAGAAATCGAAAATCTCTCTGGATCAAGGATGTCGTACTTCTCTTGAGATCATTGGACTGGAGCAGTAAGCAGGATATACAGGTATCGCGATCCTCCTGGGATGGCACTCTCACCTTTGACAAACTAGCATTTTTATCACCCCCCAGCGGAGGAGCAGATAAGTCCACGGTCTCCGCATCTTTTGATAACGGAATTCCGCCTTCTCCTAAAATATTTCTCTTATTTTGACCCCTACAATTAAAAGAGGCTTTGCCGCTGTCGTAGTCAATCTCCTCAGTCTATTTTATTCTAGGTAGTCATACTAGTCAACTTACCAAGCGAATCCCGAGTGCCGTCGAGATGCCGGTCAAGAACATCACGACCGAATTCGGTCATTCTATGCCCCCGGAGGGAAAGCACAACATCACAGTTCACTTCCCTGGCTGGAAGGTCATTACAGACTTTCGCGATGGCGATACGTCAATACTACCAAAACTCGTGTCCATGTACCCTCGCTTTGGTCCGTGGGCGGACGCCCGTGAGGTGAGCGTTTGTCCATCCACAGCCTCACTCAACAGGCCCAGGCCCCGCTGCATCTAGGATCAATCAACTTGAGGTACTGACATGAGATGAATTTGAAAGCTATCGTTAGCCATTGGCAAGAAGCTGGAGCTGCCGGACACAGTAGGCGTTCTCATGTACACCTCTCCGGATGCCTTCAGCGTGCACCAGGAATACGCTGCCTCCTCGCACCGAAAGAAGGAAGATAAGTTGGCTGAGGGCGACCTGGGCTTTAAAGTCGCTGAAATCAATGATATTCGTCTGTATATTGTGACATACCCCACGGCGAAAGGCAAGGGAATCATCGGAGCGTGGCAAAATCCTGGAATAGGAACCTCAACACGAACGGCTGAATATCTACTCGGGCACATTGACAGCTTCAAACAAGTTGAATGGTCTGGAGATTTGAATGAGCTGCCGCCACCAACATATCTCCCAGAGAATGAGTCCCACGGGAAGCTGCGGGAACGCATAAGTAGCTTGATGCACCGGGCGCCCATCGATCCAGACAGGGTCAAGGTCACGCCTGATGATGTCTATCTCTATGTCTCGGGCATGGCAGCCATATATCACCTGAATAAGGCCCTTCTCAAGAGACAAAGTGGCACAATCCTCGTCCTGGGAGCTATATTTCACAATACATGGCACCTTTTTGAAGAGACATCTGGAGGCGTTAAGCATTTCGGCGATTGTAGTGCTACTAGTGGCGTCCTAGACAAGGTCGAGGAGTATCTCGAGACGGAAAGAAAGAACGGCCGGAAAATCAGCTACGCATTTACAGAGTTTCCAAGCAATCCTATCTGTGTCAGTGTGGACTTGAAGCGCCTAAGGCAGCTGGTAAGTTCTACAATTAAAGAGTCCCGCAACCCCTGGTACCTAACTGTTATACAGGCTGATAAATATGACTTTCCAATCGTTGCCGATGACACCGTCGGCAGCTTCTGTAACCTAGACTTCATGCCTGTCGCCGACATGGTCATGACCTCCTTGACTAAGTCTTTCAGCGGTTACGCCAACGTCATGGGAGGCTCTGTGGTTCTGAACCCAGACTCGCCCCGTTACGGGGAGATCAAACCACACTTCACCTCTGATTACCGCAACGAATACTTCGCCAATGATGCAGACGTCCTGTTGTCCAACAGCGCCGACTACATCCCACGATCAATCATCCTCAACCGCAACGCCGCGACGCTCGCCGCTCTTCTGCAGAAAGAGACAGACGACCCGACCTCGCCCGTAACGGGCTCACTATACCCACCGCATAACGACACCTTCGACAACTATAAGGCGCTCATGCGGCGCACCACGCCTGAGTTCACGCCGGGCTACGGATGCCTGCTCAGCGTGGACTTCGAGGATCTGGAGACAGCCATTGCCTTCTACGACAACCTCGCATTCTACTGCGGGCCGCATCTGGGCGCCCACCTGAGCCTCGCCAATGCGTTCAACACGGCGGTGTATGGCAAGGTTAGGGAGGAGGCCAAGTACCATGCTAGTTACGGTCTCCGGGAGGAACAAGTTCGGCTAGCCGTTGGATTGGAAGATGAAGAGGAGCTTGTCGACACTGTCAACTTTGCACTTCAGAAGGCGCGGGAGGCCAAGGAGGCTAAGAAAGCATCTGGTGGCTCGAAGGCCGTCGAAAATGAGAATGCCGAGGTGGTAGCTACCACTGTGGAGGTCAGTGCCGACGCCGAAGGGTGAGAAAAGCAGATAATACCTAGTCCATATGGCGTGTTACATAGTAAGAAGTTATCTCTTAGGGCCATAATTGATCTCAATTCTTTAAAATGAAGGAGAAACTGGTAATAAACATACTTTGCGTTTGAATGGTAATTGAAACGACATCTTGAAACCAACCCAAATATGTGAGTATCTTTATGGTGACTAAGAACCGTCATTCGTCATCTGAACCTTTGTCGAACAATCTGAAATACATGTCCTCTCTCCTTTCATACCTCTTCCGCTGCACTTGTAACTCCTGCTCTAATTCCTGGCACTTCCGCTGACACTCGATAAGCAGCCGCAGCAAATCTTCTCGCTCAAGGCCCTCTAGACTTTCATCTGCATCATCGCTTGTACTCTTACCACGCCCGCCGTTCGAGATGGCTTTGCTAACCACAATTTTCTCGTCTGCGCTCAAATCAGAGGTAGACATCTGTCTCACTGGGTCAATTGACTTCCGAGACTCCCTGCTGCTATGTACAGTTCTCAAGTGCTTGACATAGTTGTCGCGTCGTGAGAAGGGCTTCCTCAACCTTTTGCAGCTGGGTGCTTCACACACCCAAGGTCCGCCTGCTGGAACAGACCCCTCTGCCTTATGCACAGTCTGGGTGTGCCGATCTCGGTCCTTCGGGGCTCCAAATGTTTTACCACACTGCTGACATCGATATGGACGTGTATGCTTTCGACGCAGGTGCTCATGGAGTTGACCACGGGTGGAAAACCCCCCGGCTGGACATTCAGCATAACTGCATTTCAGCATTGGAGAGTCTGAGAGAGTCTCACGCTGTGGCAACGGGTTGTCACTTGTGGTAGGAATCTCAAGTCCGAGGTTGGTGTGAGAAGGCAACATGACAAATTCTGGCATTGGTGTAGGAGAGAGAGCAGTTTTCTGTCGACTAGATAGCTGGGATGCTATGATTTGCCCGGAGTCTAACTCCATTGACTGTGAAATGATTGCAGGGAGACCGGATGTCGTGAGAGTTGTTGCTGGCAACTCTAGATCCGAGGGATGAAGAGGAGATACAAGAAAACCGTCCAGAGTGATTGAGTTCCCAGAAAGGCCTGGATATTGAGGGCTTGTGCCTAAGGCGTAGTCTTGGTCTCGGCCGCCATAGCCTTTGCCATATTAGCAGCGGATCATTCATCTTCGTGATTGCCATGATTCCGTGACCCCTGAGTGCTTACCAGTAAAGAATTGATGCACATCGGTGTCTGTGTCCACCCAGTTCCCAGGCAATAAGCCAAATTCTGGTGGCAATGGCCTTTCGGTTGACATTCAACCTACTGAGCGTGCCCTCAAATGCCGGTGGAGGAAGCCATGCTTTCCCCTGACCCTCGAGTATCACCGGGTGGACAAAAAAAAGGTGTGTTGCAATCATAAAACCCGCCGCCGCTCCGACGGAGACAAGAAGCAAGGCTGTTAAAGTGATGGAGTAGATGTATCGTTATGGTGTCAAATAAAGAGAGAAAACCCCCCAGGGAACAATATATCATTAAATAGCTCTTGAGTCTAAGCCCCAACGGTTGAGGCCAGCTTTGAGGCCCCTTCAAGGCCCGGCTTCAGGCTGTGCTTGAGTATGCCTTGAGGCATGGTCCAAAGGGCGAGGCTCAGGGCTTAACTTGTAAGGCTCAGTTCAAGGCCCGACCTGAGACCCGATGCTATGCAGCTCAGGTTACACAGCAAACAAGTCATGAAACAGCACACAAATCGAGGCCTCGTTTATTACCCTTGTTTATTACCCTTGGTGAAGCTCCGTCCCTGCCCCATTATACCTGAGAGGTACAGCTTTGCGAGTTGCAGAGAAAAAGCCCGCTTCAAGCAAGTGCCGATCCATTCTGGTCTAACTAATTGATTAACATGGATGTTTTAAGAGAAACCGTATAATAGCCGGTTCGTGAAAGGCAATACAGTGATGCTCTAATTATACAGTGTTTGCAAACGTCACGATGGCTTCGTTCCAAAAAAGCCGCTGTGGACACTGAGCCAGAACTTAGCTGTAGGCTGCATTCAGGGTTGCCCTGCAGATTCAACAATGGCTTCAATTTAGATAGCGTAGGCATCTCATATAGCTGTATTAAAGCCAAGTATCGAAAGCGATGAATTTATAAGGTGGAATCAAAATCTTTCTTTACTAGGTAGCCGAAACAAAGGTATTTGAGTGAATAATAACTACGAGTTCATGTAGAACAAGAAAGTATGAGTATTTGTGGTGTTGTCTCACAGTTATTATAGTGAATCTTTTACCCTTGCAGCATTGGTTCATGTAAGGTTTGATTGACATAACATTTAATTCTCATGTGCTAATATCCGTCGGCCTCATTACGATTCATCCCATGTCTAAGACGATACAAGCAAGTGGCCAGAAATACAACCCAACGCCTAGGGATTGTGACATCCTTCTCATACACTAATCACTATATTAGACCATTGCGGTCACCCGCCTGATACTCTTCCTAGCGCCGTCGCCGTTCACTGTGATCAAGCCCTCCATCTCGAGCGCACGCATCGTCTCCGCAAACTCTGCCGGCTCGACAGGCACACCCGCACCCTCGCCCAGCCGTCTGCTCACCTCGGCGTACTTGACTGCCTGCCCACCGGCAGTCAGCTCGTCGAGCAGCTTGACGACCGCCTCCTTGAGGTCGGCCTTGCGCTTTCGCTCCGCCGCACTGGTGCCTTCAGTCAGAAGAGACATGTCGATGCGTCCCTGCGAGTCGGTGGCGGCTGTCTTGAGCGCCGATTTGATGAGCCGGACAGCCTCCTGGACATCATTACGCGTGACGGTCGTCGCGAGTCTCATCTTGGCATGTGCCTCAGCAAGACGAATCATGGATTCTAGCTGACGGGTCGTCGCTGTGATACGCTTCTCTGCTGCGCGCACATCTTGACCTAGCCTGCGCATGTCGACATATGCCTCGACCAGCTCGGTGGCTGCCTCCTGAGAAATTGTGGGGTGAATGTTCGCACGAGCGTACGAGATATATGCAGTCAGGAACTCGACGGGCTATGCATTGTTAGTACCATTCTGAGGTTATGACAGCGTTTATGAACTTACCAGAATATCCTCCTTAGTCTTGGCGGAGTGCGGTGTATCCTCAAGGTACATCGACATCAGATGCTTCGCAAGCCGCCTATCCATCTTCTCATCCACTCGGTCTAGAATCAGATAAACCAAGTCGAAACGAGACAGAAGAGTCGGAGGCAAATCGATATTTTGAGGAACAGGTAGGTCCGGGTTGTAGCGACTGCCGATGGGATTGGCAGAAGCCAGAATACTCGTTCTGGCATTAAGCGTGGTGATGATACCCGCCTTTGCTACAGATACGGTCTGCTGCTCCATGACTTCGTGAAGAACCGAGCGAGTCGAGTCAGACATCTTGTCAAATTCATCAATGCAGCAGACACCGCCATCTGACAAGACTAAAGCACCAGACTCAAGAACAAGCTGGCGAGTTTCTGGATCTCTGGTGACATACGCGGTCAAACCGACGGCAGATGAGCCCTTGCCGCTTGTATACACACCGCGAGGTGCAATGCGGTGGACATATGACAGGATCTGTGATTTGGATGTCGAGGGATCACCACATAACAGAACATTGATGTCGCCGCGGTACTTAGGGCTACCACCCTTCTGGAAGGATTTGTTTGTGCCGCCGAACAATTGAAGTAGAATACCCTTCTTGACGTCGTCCATCTCGTACACTGAAGGTGCAAGCGATCGAGAAAGAAGCTCGTAAATGTCAGCACGCTGAGCTGTCTCCTTGATCTTCTCTTCCTCTTCAGGGGATACGTGACGGGTCTCTTCGAGGATAGTACCCTTGGTTTGGACCTCCATTTCCTCGTCAATGTCAAGGGTGGTGTCATCAGCACCCATTCTCTTGCTATCGACCTTCTGAACATGGACAACATCGACGTATGTCTTGTAGATGCTCTTAATGGTTCTCTGGCGCGGGTTAACGCGGACAGGGCTGACACGGAAAACACCAGTCATCTGAACTCGGTCACCGGCCTTGCAGAAGTCGACAAGCTCATTGTAGACGCAGACTGTGACTGAGTGTGGCGTCTGTCCTGCAGGCACTGCATCAGGGGTTTCCTGCAGCTTAATGACTTGCTTGTCCTCGAAGGTGCAGCGATTGTGGACGATTTGCATCGAGTTCTTGGAGGCGCAGCGAGGGCGAGGGCACTCAGTAGGCTCACGAATCTTGCCACGATCCAAGCTCACGATTACAGAGTGGTTGCACACACTACATTTGAAGAACGCATCCTTCATGTCAGGGATGACAGGAGTAGTTCGAATGACAAGACCCTTGATGGAGATCAACTTGTCCATATCTGCGCGTGGTCAGACTTGCTTCGTCAAAGAAAGGTGTGGCAATGCTTACCAGAAGGATTCAATTCACGCAGGTTGATAGTCTTGTCGAGGCCGTATGGCCTCACAAGGTAGACTGTGTCGCTGACTTGGTCCTCCAAATTCGGCTCCTGGTCGCGCTGAGGTCGAGGCGTTGATGGCTCCTCGCCCCTCTCGGAGCTCGGGAAGGCTGGCTCTGAACTCTGAGTAGATTGCTGCGATGCCTGTGGGCCGCTGCTGCTCTGGCTTCTCTGCTTGGTCATCTCAGATCTCGCAATCTCGATCATCATATCATGAACAGCCTGATCCATGACGGGAACGATTTCCTGAGGATAGACCTGGAGCTGGTGCTGAAACTTGACTGTGCGTGGGTATGCCTTCAGGTCACGCAAATCAACGTAGAGCTTGTTCGTACCAAGCAGAAGCATGTTCTCCAAGGCCTCCCAGTACGGACGTGTCTGAGCCTCTGGGTTGTTCTCAGTCTCGGCCTCCGACATGCCATCAGCCCACATGCGGTACTTCTTTGTGAAGTTCCTCAGGAAGTCCTTAAAAGCAACGAAGGAGTCCTCGATCGAGATTGTAGTACCCCAGACAAGGCTTTGGCTGCCACCACCTATCGCATCTGCCTCTGAAGTATTGGGATTAACATTACTGAAAGAGGCAGCGTCTGATCCGTCGACGGGCCCCTGGCTAACGACGTTACCGGCCTCGTCGAGAATGATGCGGCGAGGAGCTCGAGCAATTCTTGCAGGGCCCTCTGGGTTGATGTCTCCACGGCGGGATCGAGCGGTACTGGAGCGCTGTGAGCTAAGGAACAGACCACTGCTCTCGCTCCGCAAATCAGATGGCTGGCCGAGACTTCTTCCGGGGCTGGAGCTGGGCTCATAGCGGATGGGTGAAGACTCTGGCGCTGAGTTAGAACATCGAGTCGAGGGAGAAGGGCGGACAAGGAGGCCTTACCGCCAATGAGGCCACCGCTTGCTCGCGGTGTACGGTCACCATTGCTTACTGACTGAGTGTCTGTCATGTGGCGTAGAGGCGAGCTTGGTGCCGCGTGTGTGTCGGTGCTCTGAGTGTTGCTCATCTGCCGCAATGGCGACGAAGGAGCACCAGCAGCAGAGCCATTGCCGTTGGCCGGGGAGGACTGGAAGAACATGGGACTGGAGGCCAGTTGGGAGGCACGCGCCTGGCGAGGGGTGCCATTCTTTGAGCCGTTCTGCGAAGAAGCCTCAGCGGGCGCGGGGCTGCTTCGGGGCGGTTGTGACGATCGCAGACTGCGGCTTGGAGTCGCCGATTGCGAGTTGCGCTGTGATCTACGGGGCGCTGGTGAAGACATCTTGGCTCAACAGTGTCGTCGCCGTTGATGTTGGGGAATCTGAGTGAAGGAATGACGAGAAAGGGAAACGGCAGTGTTTGAGAGTGGGATAGAAGAAGGGTCGCGAATTAGTTGGCGGGTCAATGAGCAGATAGGTAGCCCTTGACAAAATCGATTGCAGGGGAAATAGGAGAACGCGTCCAGGACCGCGTCTGGTGGAGGAGACCGCGTTGATTGATCATTAGTTAGGTACTTATAACCAAGGGGGCTACCGCGTATATAAGAAGTATATGCCTAAGAGACCCTGTCAATCGTGTTAAAGTGCTTGCGTTAGCGTGTTTTCCTGCTCGATACCAAGGCCCCACCACTCAAGCCACATCAGCCACAGTCATTTTGAGGCCAAGTGGTAGTGGGCAAGTTGGTAGGGGGAGCTAACTTCGATATCGACACCGCACATCAACCACCCCTCCAACCAAGCGCATACCAACGAGACAAGGAGCTTCGCCGGAGCTCACCGCGCAGCAATTCTTCAAGATGTCTCCCGGCATGTCCCTCTTCTCCGTCAATGCCATCATCATTCTCAGTCTCGATGGCTCTCGGATATTCGCAAAATACTACACCGCACCTCATCATGCCCCGACGCCAGCTGGCCAAACGAGCAGTACAGCCCTCTACGCCTCAATGCGGCGCTTCTCTCGCTAACATTCGGAACAGCTCCCTCCTCAAATAGCCCTTACCCAGATGTGAAGTCGCAGAAAGCGTTTGAGAAAGGCTTATTGGAGAAGACGGCAAAGCAGACGGGCGATATCCTGCTGTACGATGGCCGCATCGTCACCTACAAGACCGAGTCCGATGTCATGATGTATCTGGTCTCCAGTATCGATGAGAACGAAATCCTCCTCTACCAGAGTCTCTTGTGCTTGAGAGATTCGCTCCACCTTCTTTTCAAGTAGGCATAAGTCCCGACAGCTTTCTTGGCGGGGCTAACAGTTATAGGCAATCTGTCGACAAGCGCACAATTATTGAGAACTACGACCTTGTAAGTCTGGCAATCGACGAGATTGTGGACGACGGCATCATCCTCGAGACAGACCCGACCATTGTTGTCCAAAGAGTCAGCAAGGCGCCAACACAAGATGTCGACCTCCGCCGCATTGATCCTTTCAGCGAACAGGGCGTTAACAACCTGGCGCAATTAGGAAAGGCGAAGCTGACGGACTGGCTGCGGCAGGGGCTGTGAGGAGCGGTCTTCATACAAAATCAAAATGCTATATCCGGAGTAATTGGGTCTTTGGGTTTTGCGGAAGTCAAGTCATGATAATCATCTAGACAGCATGAAATGAACAAGAGCCCCCATACCCGGGCCGTATTCTATTTGTCTACGCTCTAGTCTCAGACGCTGCCTTGCGCAGGCGGTTCATGACCGCTGCTGCTATGTCGTCCCTATCTTCAATTCCTTCTACAAAGATGATATCAGCTCCGCGTCGGTCTAGCTCCCGCATTGCCGAGAACAACCCCTGAGCTATCATCTTGCTCTCCTGACCTAGTCCTATGTCTAGAATTGTGTGGCCATCAGCTTGGCTTTCTAGGATCTCATATGACAGATCCTCTTCGCCATCGTGACGTTGCTGGTTAGACTCTGTGACTGTGTTGCTAGCACCAGTGGCTTCCGCTTTGTCTGCTTCAACTGGGGCGGCCCAACGACGTGTTCTGATAAAACCAACTCGAGTCTTATTGCCCACGCCTCCATCCTGCGTGTATCCCTGGAGTACCTCAATGCTGCCTGCTTTGGGAGGTGCTTCATAAAGTACGACCTTGGCCTTGGGGCTGTAGTGTTTGTACTTCATGCCCGGTGCTCGCGGCGCTGCCTTGCCAGTCTCGCTGTGATCCTTATATGCATTCTCCACGTGCTCCCAGCCAGGACAACTTCGTAGCTCCTCGAGGCTGACTCCTCCTGGCCGTAGCACAACAGGTGGATCACAGAGACCATCAACGACTGTGCTCTCCACTCCAACCGGGCAGGACCCGCCGTCCAGGATGAGCTCTATCCTCCCGTCCAGATCCTCATTCACGTGCCACGCAGCAGTGGGTGACGGCTTTGTAGAGGCGTTGGCGGACGGCGCTGCCAGCGGCGCATCGACCAACTTGATCAGGGTCCTCGCCAGCGGCGTGGCTGGCATTCTAGCTCCGAACGTCTTCAAGCCGGCCGTGACTTCCGGTGCCAGGTGTGAAGGCTGCGGATTCGGCATCAGGATCGTGAGAGGGCCTGGCCAGAACCTCTCGATGACGGGCTTGTATATGCTTGGAATAGGGTCCTGGGATGATCCATTTACTGCATTTTCCCCTCCGGCCCCGTTTGCATCAGCCGGGACGAGCAACCTCCTCAGCATCTGCAGGTCACAAACGTGCACGATCAGCGGGTTGTCCGCCGGCCGCCGCTTGGTGGCATAGATCCCCTTGACCGCTCCGCTCCTTGTGGCATCTGCACCGAGGCCATACACTGTCTCCGTTGGGAATGCAACCGGCACGTCACTGCTCCGGAGATATTGCGCTGCCTCGCGAATGGGGGCGAGGTCCTGCTCCGAGTCTGTCGGGATCGACCATGATTCCAGCTGCGTTCCTGCCCTACTTCCATTACTCTGGCCTAGCGACTGTCCGTTCTGGACCCGGAGTATTCGCGTTTTCATGGTTGTGACTTCGTATGAGACGGCTGCGGATATAGTGAGGCGACGGCTACTGGATCCTAGACTAACAGAAAAGCCTGGACGACGACACCAAAACGTGATCAGAGGACGCAGCAATACCGCCAACTTGGAAACTTCTTAATGGAAACCGTTTTTCTATGTTAACAAATTGGTAATTGCTCAGACACATATGAGAGTAAGTGCCAAAGGCGGTCGTTTTCAAAGTCGTGGTTGAGTCTCAAAGTGAGTTCTGAGTCATTCAAGATTTTTTCTGCAGGGCTCATTTAAGTGGCGACGTTAGGCTCCAAGCTGCGGATGAGAAAGCACTTGCATCACCACAAATCCTCCTCACAGACACGTCCAACAGTATCGCAGAAGGTTTTGCGAAATATCAGAATGGGTGTCAATCTCACGATCCATTGAATTCTGAATTGATGTGGAATTGTGTAGCCACCGTTCCTAGCTTGAGAAATACGAGCACTCGCTGAAACTATCTATGCATTCCATGCCATTCATTTGTGGTATCTCCTGAAAACTGCTCCAAAAACCTTGAACGCCGCGAGCTTCCATGCCATATTATCCTGTACTCTTACATAAAGGTATCTAACCCTGACTTGACGAATCCAATCAGTCCTGCGCCATCTCCTGACGTGTCGTGCCAGCTCGGCGCACTGGCAAGCTGGCGACATATTCGCCGGTGATGCTAAGATGGTTGTTCATCCCCTCCAGCATCCTCATGAATTCGTCTCGGACCTCATCGCGACTAGCCGTCCCTAGCATAACATTCTGCGAAGGCGGGCCTGGAATTGGTGGGAGGCCCTGGCTTGTGTCCAAGCTGGACGAGCGCATGGTAGACGACTGGCTATCGGAAGCCATGTATTCTGAGCCTCCGTATTCACTTCCAGTATAGAGGTCGCTATCATCTAAAAACTGTCCGGTCAGTCGACGATCGTCCCGAGTTGCTGGGATTCCACCACCCATTGGTGCAGGTGGCCCGGCGATTCTTGCAAAGTCACTATCGTCAGAGACATAGATTGATGGCTCCCGATTGCTCGGCGGAAGTGGTTGATAGAGGGACGCATGGCGTTCTAGATCGAAGGCACCGAGATCTGATCCGGTGACAGAAGCCACATCAGAGTTGGCCGTGGACGGCCGCGTGAACTCTCCTGGTCCAGTGTCTGCCAGAGACTCATCGAGATCGATCAAACTGCTCATGGAGGCACGGTTGTCTTGTACCCGCGGCACCATCAGATCATAACCCTGGGAAGGGAGGCCGACGGGGTCCGTGGGGTGGTGCAGCAGTGGCGGTCGGTTAGCAGATCCGGGATTGCTAGAGAAACTATCTTCGTTGAAGGGAAATCGGGACACTTCAGGATTGGCGGATGCCGGAGGTGCCATTGACGGAAACTTCCACTCTTGTGTTTTCCGGTTGTTTTGAAGAGTCTCGGGATCACTGTTCGGAGGTCTAGCGAAGTCTTGGACGTCCGAAATGTCATAGTCCGTAGATTGGCGCGGACCTCTGATCGTATCCATGTCGACAAATCGAGAAAGCTCACTGCCATGAAGTGATGCATCTAGGTCGATCAAGGATTCTCTCAACGTTGCGTGGTACGAGTCATCTCTTAAAGGAAGATCAGACTGAGGGGGGGGAATAGGCTTTCCGTAGTAAGCTCTAGCATTCTCCTCGTAATTCGATATTGTGTTAGGATCGAACACTTTCTCCAATGGTGCCCTCATTACAGGCAGTTGAGGAGGCGGTCGACGACGGGACTTCGGCTTAGTCGGGCGTATGAACTCATCATCCGCGTCCGAAGCGAAATCTATGTTGGCCCCATACACATCATACACAGCCTGTGCATCTGTGTTGTTCATCACTCGCTGATCAAAGTCCACCGTGGTGCTGAAATTCCACTCATCATTTGCTAATGAGGTTGATGACAAGTCTGAGTCTGAAGGTCCCATGGCGCCTCCAAATGCGAATAAAGACTTTCTACTTCCTCCCTGAGCCTCCCAGACCTTGAAAGCTTTGACAAGCATGGCCAAAGAAGATGTTGGATATGCGGCACTTGTGTTGAATATGTATGGATGACGCTGAACTTCCTCAATAGTAGGCCTAGAATTTGGATCCTCTACAAGACAAAATGAAACTAGGTCTTTCAGAGGTTCAGAGTATTTGTCTCCTTCGAGACGAGGTGTATGTTGCTTGATGTAGCTCCCAAGTTGCGTAACATCGACACCAGCAAAGACGTTTGGGGGAAGGCCCGATGCAATCTCGAAGACCATAGAGCCAAAAGCCCAGATATCAACTTCGGTACCGTATGAAGCCGACTGATCGAACAGCTCAGGGGCCATCCAGTGTGGTGTTCCGATAAAAGTAGATCGTTTGTCGAACTTTGTCTCGATCACTCCCGATACTCCAAAGTCGCATAGCTGAACCTCGCCGGTTTCTGTGATGAGAACGTTTGCACACTTGATATCGCGGTGAATAATTCCCTGCTTGTGAACCCAATATACGGCCTCGGCAACTTCTCGCAGAATCGGGATGATCCATTTTTCCTGAAGCCCTCCTGGTGCCGTGGGCTTCATCAATGTCGCCACACTGCCTCCAGCGCAGTATTCGGTAACCATCCACATTGATTGACCTACTGGCAATGCGTCGAGAACGTGATTCACATTCTTCGCACCACCTTCACCCAAAAGCTTCAGCGCATTGATCTCTTTCAGGAACTCGCTGTAGGTGTCGGCTAGCTTGGGGTTCAGGGTGTCGGACTCTTCAATATCGATAATCTTGACTGCAACGAGTTTACTCGACCTCGGTTGA